CCCACACCATTTTCCATTTTTTGTTCAAATAAAAAGGAAAGTTTTAATTTTAACATAGTAAAATTACATACAAGGAAATAGTTATTAAGCAAGAATAATAGTTAAAATATTTAGTCTATTTACTTTTGGATAATTAAAAAAATATTCCATCATCTCTCCTATTTTGTGAGTCTGAAGTTTTATATCTGATTTAATTTTTATATTTATAACCACCTTTTTAACTCCAAAAGGATATAATATTACCTAAGTAAACAGAAAGTGCATTGTAAGCAACTTTTAAAACCCTAGAATTGACAAAGACACCTCGCTGTCTGAACAGTCACCCAAAGTTCCTTTGTAACATTGGGGCACCCATCGTCAGCCTACAGGCTCATAATATTTGGCAGATGTTTTTATAAAGCAGGAAATTTCAAAGACAGTTCCAATATTTGCAGTTTGTCAGTCACTTTTTCTGTGTCGTGCAGGATGTCTGGCAGACTCTATTATGAAGCAGAAACCCTGAAGGACTGTCTAACATTCTTTAGGCAACTTTAACAGTCATTTTTTTTGTGAGCCCTTCTTGTCCAGTTTATACAGCATACTTCCTGCTCCAAAAAATTTTTACAGTGCGATTTTAACAGTAGCAAAATTATGGTTACGAAGTAGCAATGACAAAAAATAATTTTATGGTTGGAGGTCACCATAACATGAAGGACTGCATTAAAGGGTCCTAGCATTAGGAAGGTTAAGAACCTATCTAGAGAATCTTGACTAATGTGCATTTAGTTACATAGTTTTAATTTTTTATATTTATGCCTTTGATGAATTTGAATTGATTTTGGTATAAGGAAAGAGGGGAGGGAAAGGGGTCTCAGTTTAATCTGAACATAACCCCCAAAGCAGTCTTGTGATCTTTCTGATAAGAACGCTGTTGCTTGGCAAATCAGGGCACTGCAATGTGTTGTTCTCTTACCGAGTTCCAGATGTGTGCCTGGCATGTGCCCATGCCTCCACATGTTGTTCTCTTACCGAGTTCCAGATGTGTGCCAGGCATGTGCCCATGCCTCCACCCTCATCTAATAAGTAACAGCAACAAAATAAGTCAGACAATAATTTCAAGCGTGTTTGACATTGCCAACAAGTATATGTGATACAGAGTATTGAAATAAATGTCAACAATATCGATTTTCCTCTTTACATGCTCAAGTGAGAAATCTAAGAGGGGCGATTTATGTGTTTCGCATTGGATTCTGATTGAGAAGGTCAATTTTAGAAGCCTGTTCAGAATAGGTCTATTACCAAATGAATTCACTGGCTGTTTCTACTTAAATCTCTTGTTCTTCCTGCACGCGTTCTGAGATACCTGCGAAAACATTCTGCGTCTATTCCTCCCCACCTTGAACCAGGTGTCATCTCTTACTTTGCCATGGATCCACCCAGATATCACACTTCAATACCGTTGCCCATCTGATTAACAACTAGCAGCAACCTGTCTGCCAGTGACTGTGTGGCTTTTAACTTTTCAGCAGCTCTCTGCCAGCCTGCTGTCAATCACTTTATTCAAATGACCCACGTTTGAAGCAGTACTGCCATAGTCTGGGCACTTTCATTACAGAAACACAAAGAGCTCAGCAGGTGGAAATTCAAGGCAATTGAGGAGCATCCTCCGGGGGCTTAACTCCTTGAGAGAGCACACCTGTGAGGTCCCGGATTATTTCATCTCCAGCCTGTGTTTCAGAAGCAGCCACATGCGGTTATCAGTGCAGAAGAAGCAGAACACAGAGGTCCGTTCTCAGGCTAAATATCTTAAGTTCACGACCTCATCAGTCAACTGCCACGCAACGTGAGGTGCATGGAAAAGAAAATCAAAACAGAAGAAAAATGAACAAAACAGTAAGAGAGAAACAAATACAGAATCACCCTCTACCCCAATGTAACATTGGTAAAACAAGATGATAATCTCTAATATACCTCTGAATGTTGCTTAGGAGCACACATGTGCTAATGCCCCTGCTTATTTGTATGTGTGCATAGAATTTTATAGTATATGTACCCCATTGGTGTGTGAAATGAAACTAAAAAAATTTAAAATATAGTGGGACCAGAAACACTGTGAAAGGTGTCCAGAAGCAATAGCTGGCACAGCTCAATTTCCCAGGGTTCTCAAGATAATTGAAAAATGAGCCCATCTTGACAAGCAAATGAGCTTCCTTACTGTGGGGGAGGTAAAGAGGGAGAGAGGGGAGGAGTGAAGGAGGGAGGGAGGAAGGAAGAAGGAGGGGTGGAGGAGGGAGGGAGGAAGGAGAAGGGAGGAAGGACAGGGGAAGGGCCACTGCATCTTTCAGGCTTGCACATTTTTGACATAATATCAAGGAAACTTGAGTTAGGACAGGTCTCTTTCCAAAGAGCAACGTATTCCACCCCTGTAACTAACTAACCCTTAGGGGACTATAAATAATATAAAGGATAAATGAATCTGCTATGGCTGATTCATTAAATCATATGAGCTAATATTTAACTTCTTCTTTTACTCAAAATTCTATTGAAATAATAATTATTAAATCCATTTCTTTTCTTTCTTTCTTTTTTTTCTTCGAGGCAGCGTCTCATACTGTAGGCCAGGTAAGCACCGAACTCGTGGCTCAGAATCCTAAGCACTGGCCGATGGACACGAGCCACCACACTCATCTAGCAACTTATTTTAAAGATGGCAAAGTTAAGCTTCAGAGAACAACCAGACATTTTATTTAGCTTTCTAAACTCCGACTTCTCTGTTCATCCTCTGAAAATCGCTGCTCCGGCCGGCTCTGCCTACTTCAGCTTGTTGGCTCTCAGTCCTTTCCACGTCTTAATGGCCAAAGCTCTCCTAAGGCGATGCTAAGACTGTTTCATCAGCCTTGGTCTTTTCTTTTCATTTATGTGGTGGAATTTATTTGCTCACTGGAGTGAGTAATTTTCGATATCTTGCCAAACAGCCTGTGGCAAGTGAAAATACAAGCTGCATATATTAAAACTTTCTGTTGGAGTAGAACGCAACAAAAGCAAATTATGCCGCGAAGCGAATGCCATTGGACTGCAGGCACTTGTGAGTAATTAAAAACTTCCTTCTTATCTGTAATTAAGAAAGCAAATTTGCCCTATGTATTTGAGAGGCACTAGAAGGACACAGTGTGCCCTGTGGCTCCAATGCTCCATTTGACTTTATTGTCATTGGTGTTATTTTTACCATGGATCTGCATAAACGCCTCCTATGTCATCCAGCACCTTATCCAGAATCCATGGATTACCCATATCCGTAGACATCTCCAAATGACATCCACGGAGTACCCATATCCGTAGACATCTCCATATATGTATGGAGTTAGTAGTTTTCGTCTAGTTTTACTGTTTTTATAGACTGAGATCACTTTTTAGATGAAGTGCTCGCTGGTTTTATGAAGTGTTATGGAAATTCTCCATTAGTTCAGAACACATGGTGGCGGCTGCCGCCGTGAAAAGTGTCTTGTCAGGCAGACATGCCTGGTTAGTCCTGGGGACAGTCAGCATGGCCTGGATCGCAGGACTGGTGTAAGTCTGACTGAAAGCAGTTGCCCCCGTGGAGCACAGCAACAGAAGAGGACACTTTGGGATCTATTGTGTCTTCCGGTGGCAGCAACATCTGGCCGGGCTAGGAGGCACTGGCTATGGTCCAGGCATTGAGTCCTCTACCAGCTGCAGAGCACATGGAAGCCATGAAGCGCTCAAAGGAGGTGTGAGAAGAATCACCATTGTAAGAGTACACACAGCTCTGTAGCGAGTGGACCAAGCTGAGGCTTGGGGGAGCGACCTACTGGGTCACCTCTAGGTAACTCATGCTGGAGGGCTCGCTGCGGTTACAGCCCTGGGATGGACATCAGTCCAGCTTCAGGCCGTTCTCAGAGCATGCTCATTTGGCAAAGCGGAGCTTCAGCTTACCGTGGGAAAAAAAGTGATAGGGCTGGAAACTCAACGGCATTGTTCGAGAAAACTCGTTATAATGTTACGTTCAAAATACGATTTCCCCATTTTGATTTTTTAATAAATGTATTTATCTTCCCTGCCTCCCTCTCTCCCCCTCCTCCTCTGTGCGTACAGGTCAAGCGCAGGTACCTCAGGAGGCCAGAGCTGTTGGATCCTCTGGAGCAGGAGTTACAGGTGATAGTGGACCGTCTCTGGAGGGTCCTGGGAATGGAGCGTCAGTCCTCTGCCAGAGCACCAAGCATTCTCAACCACACTGGGTCATTTCTCCAGTGAGATTCTCACATTTCTTCAAATGCGATTTATAATGGTAGTAAAATTTTTGAATGGTTGTAAAAATACGTGGTTTCACTTTTGATGATTACACTCAAGTTTGGCGTGATTGTTACCAAAACGTCTGATAGTTACGGTTTCAGCTGTAAACGCCAAGTGACACAAGATAAGCTTGTGAAAGAGAGTTCCTCATAAAAATGATTTTAAGAGTAATGCCGTGCAAGGCAATATTTAATTATTCGAATATTTTAGTTTTACCATAAAAAAAAAAACAAAACAAAGAGAACATAGTTGCATTTTCAACTAATTGCCTGGGTGGGGGGGTGTCTCGTCATCTCTCCTGGCTTTCTTAAAAGTTTTGGAAAACCTAAGCCACTGGGGCTTTTCAGTGATTCATATGCTCGGAGGAGCCTGCAAAGCTGAGAATCCAGGCTCTCCTGCAGTCTGCAATGGACGGGTAGTTGACTCCCCATTAATACAACCATTCCTAACTTCCAGAGTAAGAATTCTGCTGTAACCATGCCTTGTTAAAGACAAGTGCAATGTTTTACATTCAACAACAAATCAGACTGGAAGAGTAATCCAAGAGGGGTCCATTTAGTGGAAGGTTACTCTCCTGTCCAAAAAGTCCCCCAGATAGCTTCTAGTCAGAAGAGTTCAGAAACTTCCCTTTTCCTGACTCTGCAGCTGGTCAAGGGTTGTTCTGGAGGCCCGCCCATTCCAGACCCAATCCTCCCGGTGCTGGGCTGAGTACAGTTCTCAGGGTTTTTCTGGGGAAAGCCTTCCAGCCGCCCTCCAAGGCTTCCAGCCTTCCTCCAAGACCAGTTGCTGTGGGTGCCCGCAACCTGTGAACTCACGCCAGCTCCTTGAGACTTCACAGAAGGCCAAGGCGTTCCAGGACACACAGAGGCTGTGGCCAACTGCCCAGGGGGCGGGGAATGCTCTCTGTTCTCAGTCGCCCTTCAGGTTCTGTGCCCTGGGGGCCTGGCAGTGGCAGAATCATGTGGGCACCTGGTGCGGTGGCCCGGGAACGAGTGCCCCTCCCGGAGGCTCCTCCAGGATGTTGATCTCCAACTCAGCTTGGGATCTTTTTCTTTCACTTTTCTTTTAGCTGGGGTTGGGACTCCCCAGCTGGAAAGCGCACTGGGAAACCGGGGAAACCCCAGCTGATTCGCCCCTCGTACCTTGATTGCTCACACTGGCTGCCGCCTCGCACCCTGCAGCCAGAACTCGATGGAGGTACAGAATGGGAGGCGGTCGTGATGGTGGTGGTGGATCAACAATGGAAGTTTTCCTGAAAGCCTACGCCCGGGGCCCCTCCCAGCTCTGGCTCTGCTCAGGCACCCTTCTCCCCACCAGCTGCGGGCTAAGGCGCCCCGCCCTCTTGACCGAGACTTCAGTACTCAGTGGCACTATATGCAGAGTGTTTTCCCTTCTGTCCAGCCATTCTTCTCCGGGGTTCTCCTCTACATTTTCCCCTTGCAGAGTAGGGCAGCTTGCCGGTCCTCCTGCGAGTCTCACCAGCCCGCTGCACCCTGCAGCTTGTGGTGTACCTCACTCCGCGCTGCAGGGACCTTGCCAGGGCAGGCCCAGGGGGAGCAACGCGCCTCTGTCTGCCCCCGCCCAGCTGCAGAGTTGGACGAAGACAGGATCCTGCTGCTTGGAAGGCTGAGTTCCCCATCTACCCGAGGAGCTCAGAGAGGTCAGGAAAGGTACCAGCGCTTCTCTCCTTTCCACATTCCCCTTCCAAACTTCTGCTGGCCCTGGTGAATGGATGCGTGCTCTGGACTCTCTCTCTCTCTCTCTCTCTCTCTCTCTCTCTCTCTCTCTCTTTCCATTTTCAAAACTTACCTCTTCTTTGATGAAGATGCGTCTTCTAAGGGAAATAAATGAGCAGGGCTGGCCGTAGGTCTGGGTCTGTATTAGCCACAACTTAGCTCGAATCACCTAAAGCTTATCACCATAGTTGTCTGTTTGTAATGCCACACGGAAGGGAAGCAATGCTGGAAAATTGTCCTGAAATCGAATCCGTACTCATGGGGGCGTTAGATGAAAACCTGGCTATCTTTTTCAAGTGATTTTGAGGCTGCAACTCTGCAGGAATGCGAAGGTCAAAAGAATTTCTATAACCCCTGTGTTGTTAAGGTTGTGCTGACTTCCCAGGACAAGGGAACATGTATACAATGTAAACAATGCAGGTTCCAGACTCTTCACATAGTCGTCAGAGTGGGAGTGGAAGCAAGTGTCTGCCTCCAGCTGCTTCCACTGGTGACTTAAACTGATTTCTGATCTTCTCCTTGGTGGCAGGTCTCTGCCAGTGCCTATCACCCACCCTCATCTTTGTCTGTAGCAGGGGAGATCTGATTGTACTTGCTGGGTTCTCTGTTTTGATTTGGTAAATAGTCAGATAAATAAGATTAGCCATCTTTCTGTGTAGAGGCTGCAAGTTAGATCCTTATTAGCACTGAATAATTTAGAGGATTTCCTGAAGAAACCTGAGGGGGCTTCATTAAGAGGGGAAGCTACTCCAGAAGGAATGCCAATAGAAAATAAAGGACGAGAGACAAAGCAATAATCTTTTGAGGCTTTTAGCATGAAAAAAATAAAAATCAGGAATTTTACTTAATGTCGGAGCATCAGAAAGTGCTTCAGGCACGTTCTAAGTGTGTGAACTGAACAGGTCCTGGTTTTATGCTTCTCTCTTTTCTCTTCTGGGAGTTTGCAGTTGGACTCCCATGGGACCTCTTGCCTTGTGATCTGTTTTGGAACATGATAGGGGGCAGGTTTTCCCTAGCTCAGGTTTCTGACAGCCTTTCATGGTTTGGATGTTATTGCTGGGTACAGCTTTACAGTGTGATGGGCAGCTAGTTCTGGTGGGTTAGAGGAAAAATGCTACGGGGCGTTTTTTGTTTAAATCTTGTTTCAATGATAGGAAATGTCAATATCTGTATTGCATGATATAAAATTTGTCAGTGACATATTTTTATAAACTAATTTTGAAGATTAAAAAAATGGCTTAAGGTTATTGAAACAAAATTTTGAGACTGAAGAATTTTGACCTTGGCAAGCTTTTCAGCTAAGGTGTGCTGCCCCTCAGCAATTTCAGGAAAGCTGAAAAGGAACTCTGCAGATGTAGATTTTCCGGAGGGAAATGTTTGTGATGCTAATCAGCTCTATTGAAGGGCGTCCAATCCTAGCCTTTTAAAACGTTTTAGACTTTAGACCTCTGTCTGGTGTCTCCTAGGTTTCTCTGCTCTTGCATTTTGTCAACCATTCTTCTGAACGCTGGCTACTGACCATACAGGGAATATAGTCTTCAGTCCATAACCTGAATCGGGTAGTAACATGCGTAACTGCCAACGAGTTAAACTCTAAGCTCTAAATATTGTTCTATACACTTGCTTAGAAAGTGTCACATGAAGCACCCAGGAAATATAAATAATTGTGCATTTAGTGATCACTCTGTAAACTAACTCCAATAATTTATGCAAGGAAACAGGGCTTGGGAGGGTTGACCTCTTCTGACCCAGACAGACCTAAGATTGCAATGCTGATAAAAAAAAAATGAATTATTCCCATTGAACCATTTCCCACAGTTTGATAGTGACAATTACCACTTTATTTGGACCAATGTTATGATGTTAGTTTTGGTTTCAAGTTACTTCTGCAGCTGATACTATTAATTATATATTGAAAGATCATAATCAAATAATTTCTATATGTGTTTGATCCCTTGGAAAAAAATTTATGGTCCCTGAATGAAACTATCTGCTAGTGTGTATCAGTTTTTAAATAATGGCTCATAATGGGCAAACCTGGATTGGTTTCTATATCTCAATCCCTCTGCTTGTCGTTTTATCTATCCAGGTAGGAAGGTAGGACTCAAGGAGAGACGGGAGCAGAAGATTCTCCCGCTGCATCATGACTGAGCTTGAGTGGCTGCTCTTTGAGATGGCTTCTTTAGAAAGTCTAATGTGGTGGGGTTGGCAAAGAGTCCGGTTCCCTCTTCTCTTAGCCTCAACATTAGGTCTTCTGAGCCTCTGTGCAGCTCTGGCAACAACAGGGGATGGCTGCAACTCAGTGTTAGTGTGAGGGAATGTTCTGTAGAAGTGTTGAGAGAAAATGAGTGGGTTTTGGGAGAAAGTGGAAGGCAATTAACTAACAATTATTTTATATTGTGTTTCATTTAACTAATATCAAAATTACATATGCATGTATTTATATATTTTACAGGTTTGAATATGTGTTCGTGTGTTAGCAGTTATCAGCAGATAGAAGGACTATTTTAAATTGTATTTGGGTTATATTGGATGGAAAAGCAAGGATGGTCTAGAAATCGTGATTGAGATACTGAAGTAAGAATTGTTAACAATGTATTCAGAAGGAAGCAAATGTGAGCCTGAAAGTTACTAACAGGAAGGCTCTGGTGTCTCGGGCACCATGTTGGCATGCCGTAGGCACAGCCCCATTGAATTCTAATGTGTTTAATGTTTGTTCCTACTGTACAAAAAGGAAAAGAGCAAAAGGTGGTGCTTCCATGTCCTTCCATGTGGAGTAGGATCCAGCTAGCCAGGCATTGGTCTACTTAGGATCCAGCTAGGAAGATGCTGATTTACCTAAGATCCAGCTAGCCAGGCATTGATCTACTTAGGATCCAGCTAGGGAGACACCATCCCTGTGGAGTAGGATCAGTTAGAGAGACATTGGTCTACTTAGGATCGAGCTAGGGAGACATTGGTCTGCTTAAGATCCAGCTAGTAAGATGTTGGTCTACTTAGTATCCAGCTAGGGAGACACCATCTGTGTGGAGTAGGATCAGTTAGAGAGACATTGGTCTACTTAGGATCTAGCTAGAGAGACATTGGTCTACTTAGGATTCAGGTAGGGACATCTCGGGAGACATTAGTCTACTTAGGATCCAGCTAGGGAGACATTGTCCCTGTGGAGTAGGATCAGCCAGGGAGACCCTGCTGAAGTTAAGACTGACTCTATCACTGCTGTTTTTGTGGGTGTCAGGCTCTTTGTGTTCAGTGCAGTGAGATATAAAAACACATGTCGATGCCAGGAGGCAGGCATTGGCCATTATTTGAGTGATTGTTTTGCTTTGTCTTAAACAATGTTATCTCTTTCTAAAGTGTTATTTTGGGCCAGCAAGGTGACTTGTCGAGTAAAGGAGCTGGCTACGTAAGCCTGGTGACCTGAGTTCAAACCATAAAACTGCGTAAAGGTGGAAAGAGAGCCCACCCTGTGATGTACCAGGGCGCCTGTGCCTCTGGTCTCCATCATGCATATACACAGAATGATAAAAAAAGCTGATTAGAAGTCAGGTATTCAGTGCTGGGGTCAGAATTCGGAAGGTGGAGTTCATTGGGCCACTTCGGTTGTGTCTGGACACATTCTCCAGAGTGGAGCCAGCGTTGAGATGCATGGGTTTGAAGTATTCTAGCCTACTGCAGGGTGGAGGTCCATAGCCACAGTGTGATGGCTATGGATCTGAGTGTAGATATGTGTGCTCTCCAAATGCTCGTTTCTTCTACGTCTTCAGGGGTTGCAGAACACGTTAGGAGGCTGATAGAAATTATTGCGTCAAATGAAGAAATAGAAACTGAAAATGATCAAGGGTGGGGCTGGGGGAAGGGATGAGTCTGGGGTTGGTGGGGGAAGGGAGCTGAATTCATTGTTGTGACACAGAAGGAGGCCCTGAGAAGTCCCTGGTGTCCAATAACATTGAGTCATAGTTCTTGGTAGACACTTTACTCCTGTGCTTTCCGCCTGAAATGTACAAAACGAAGCCGCCGTTGGGACCTCATGACCAAGTTCTGAGGTGATCAAGGAATTTTTCCCTTTGTGGAAAACCTTCATAGTTAAATGTACGTTTTCCCAATTTTGTTTTCTGTTTATGTTGGATATAGGAGTGTGTGTGTGTTATTGTGTGTGTCTGTGTGTGTGGTGTGTTTTGGGGGGGGGGATCATTCCAGGTATCCATCATCGATTTTCTCTTGAGACAGGATTTCTCATAGGCTTGGAACTCATTCATCGGGATGGGCTGGTTGGCTAGTAAGTTATAGAAATCTGCCTGCTTCTGCCTCCCCAGCATTGGTCAGATTGCAATCTCAGGGAATGTGCCTCACTCTTTTGAAATGCGTGTTCTGGTGATCAGACTCGAGTTATCAGGCCTGTAAAGCAAACACTCAACAATTGTACTAACCTTTCTCTAACCCTACTGTTTCCAACTTTTA